GTCAACATGAATATAATACGGCTGCAGTACAACGATTTTCATCCGTCCTCATCTGATGAGATCGACAAACGAATCTTTTCTTCATGTACTTTCATTCGAAATGAAGGTCCCCCTAACAATGTTATCTCAGGAGATTCATCGAAACCAAGTTTGTCTTCGTATCTTATCTACCAATATGACCATGTTGCGAAAACAATTTCTATCTGAAACTCTATTCAGCAAAAGGTTTGACTAAAAATGGATGTCGCTTCGAGAATGAGGATTCTTCTGACGGTTGATTTTAGCGTACGGCCAGAGCCCACCTTACGGGCAAATGAACGGAGCAAAAAGAGAAAATGACCAACGTCAAGGTAAAACAAGTGTGAATGTAATATTTTGTAATAAAAATAGAATTGAATAAAAATTTAGCCAACCCACCCCACCAGCTGGGAGGAGTGAACAAGGGTTGAGTAACTGACTGACTGGCTGGCTGGTTGGCTGGCGGGCTGGCTAGCTGGCTGGCTGGTTGGTTGGCTGGCTGGTTGGCTGACTGGTTAGGAGAATGGTTGGGTTGATGCGAGGTGGTAATGGTGAGGGTGGGTCAGCGATGGTAGGGCAGACGGTTTGAAGAGAGTTGACTCAATGAGTCAATGAGCGGATAAACATGACTATTTGAGTGTGAATCAAAATGCCTGGCTGCAACTCGAGTTAGACTAATGAACACAGACTATCGGTTGTCAATTATTCTGAGGGAAATGTTTTGTAAATCTACAGCATACTCAAGCTATGGCCAGGTTGTGCTGTCACTTGTGCCGAATGTGCCTGTATAGCGAGCATGCGCCCACACATGTATGCATGCATACACACATGCATACGTGTCCACGAGTGTACGTGTGCACGTGTATGCGGAAGTATGGTGTCTACCAGCGCGTGTAACCAAGCAACTGATGATCGGTGAGATATGTACACTTAAGCACTTGTTCAATCGCAAGCAAAAAGTAAGGTAATCACACATGGAGCAAGGAGACTGGTATGTATAGGACTGGCTGTGGAGCTTGAAAGAGACGCGCTTGTTGCGCCAGTTGACTGTGTTTTTGGTGTTTTGCCCTGGACGAATAGGGTCAGGGAATGGGGA